ACTCCTCTCTGTCGTTGCAAGGATCTGTCTCTCTCCAGCACCCACGGCCCGCCTCCCCTCCCCACCTCGCCTACGCCGCTCCTCCTCTGCCCCCGGCCCTCCTCCCCTGTGTCCCCGCCTCTCTCCGCCCACCCCTTCTCCCTGCGCCCGGGCTGGCGGTCGCTGGGCGCGCTGAGTTGGGGAACCTGGCGCCGCAGAGCCCAGAAGCTGTGGGCTTATGAGGGCTGCGGAACAGCGCGTAGTTCTCGAAAGTGGCCGTCTCCTACCCCTTCTTCCCCGAACCCCGCTCTGCGTGACACCCACCCATTGACTCACTTTTACCAACAGCGCTTTTTTCTCCACCGTTCCTGTTAAATAGAAAAGATAGTTAAAAGTCTCACCTCCCCACCCCTCGCAAACTCGTAGTGTTAATTTTTGTCCTTCAGTCCCAGGTTGGGTTAAATACTCTCTGAGCCATCTGGTTTAATTCCCGGCAACCTTTCATATGGTTTCCATTAAGCTTGCCAAAAACCGTGCATTGAAAATGCAGCCCTGAGGCTACCCGGGAAGCCCCAGGACTTCTGCTCTGGCCACCCTAGTCAGAGACTAGCAGGCAAAGTAAGGTGAGACAGAGGCCTCTGGGTGCGTTCTTGGTCTGGTACCCCAAGATCCCGGGCTTCTGCTGTGATTTTTAGCTTTTCTAAACCCAGAAAATACTGATCTATCGTGATTACCATTCATTCGGACAACTTGTGCTTTCTCCTGCATGTAAGGCATAGCGCTAGACTTCTGTATTCTTTTTTTCAAGAGAATTTTCTAAGACTTTTAAAATATATATAACTTTATTTAATTAATTACTTTAATTTGACCAGAGAGGGACAGAGCAAGAGAGAGAAAGTGAGAAAGCAAACTGCCGGGTCTGGGACTTGAACCACGGTTGACCACGCGGGAGTCCAACCACTATGCCACCTGCCAGGCCCTAATTCTGTATTAATTCTCAAAGTCAATGTTAACACTTTCCCAGATGGGGTTACAAAAAGCCCCTGGTCGGAGAAATTCAGTTTGAAAAGCCACAGTGATGGAGTTGGGGCTACACTTTCTTCCTTGCCCAGTCCTCATTTCTCAAAGACCCCCTAAAGGTGAAACAGAACAAAACAAACAAAAACCTTTCAGCTCCTGGGGAAAATGTATTAATTCTCAAAGTCAATGTTAACACTTTCCCAGATGGGGTTACAAAAAGCCCCTGGTCGGAGAAATTCAGTTTGAAAAGCCACAGTGATGGAGTTGGGGCTACACTTTCTTCCTTGCCCAGTCCTCATTTCTCAAAGACCCCCTAAAGGTGAAACAGAACAAAACAAACAAAAACCTTTCAGCTCGTGGGGAAAAAAAAAAAACTTGCCCTCACCCAAGAAACAGGAAGTAGGCAGGTTCCCATAGAATGTGTTAAAACAGAAACGTTCCTTAGAATTTATCCAAGGTACCTCTGTCAGTTTATTGAGATGGCTCCAAAGCAGAGGGATTCAGGGAAGGCCTGAGTAACTCTAAGTACTACGGGTAATTTGGGACTGTGGGGAGGACCGGGATTCCGGTCTTGCAGGGTTAGTGGGTACAGCCTATATCCTGCCCGCATCTGCAGTTGCACCTCTGTCTTGCTCAGTCGGGCAGATTTGAAGTTAGAACCCTCTCTTCCCTCCCTGAACATAGGCTTTTCTCTCTTCTTTCTTTTGCTTTGCTGGCCTTGGTATCTCCCCACCCCCGCCCCAGCTGACCGTGTGGTTTTATTTGGGTTTTTAAAATGAAACCAGGTGCTGCATAAAACAAAAGCGAAGTAATCACAAGGAAAGACGATCCAAGGCCTCAGGAATGTGCTGAGTTTTATGACTCAGGCTGCCCTGGCAGAGAACGCGGACTGACTCGGGAGAGGTGGGTGGCACGGCACAGACCATACATGGCAGCCTGGCGTCCCCAGATAGGCCCGGTCAGGGCAGCCTGTGACTCACTGCGCGGAACCAGACTCGTGTTCGCTGTGGAACGAGACTGCCCAGAGGTCAGAGCCCCAGGAGCCTCACTTTGACTTCTCCCAGAGGGGCCGGTTCAGTCTGATAGAGCAGGGGCCACCCTAAGGGTTGGTGGGGAAGAGAGCCAGGGCAAAAGGCCATCCCGGGCTTGATGGACTTGGGTAAGGGCTTTGGTATGTTTTAGTTGAGAGACGTGTAATCAGCCTGCAGACTATGGTGTGGGAGTCCCGGCCGCAGGAGGGCCACTGTGCCTCGGAGGAGGCAAGGGTAGGAGCACCCCTGGGAGAGTGTGGGGCACTGGAGGGCCTCCTCAGGCTGCCAGTCCTAATGGAATCAGGGGTGACCAAGAGCAGGAGCGATGGAGAGACACCCAGGCACGCATCCTCACATTCTGAGAATTCTTTTCAAATGAGCACAGGAGTGGAGTGAGGTGTACATTTTTTCTGTTACTAAGAGACCAGCGGAGAGACCCAGGAGAGCTAAGAATGTCCCTGCCAGCAGAGGTGGTGGGCGGAGTCTGGACTGGGGTGACAAGGATCTGTTGGTGCTCCCTTCATTATCTGGGCCTGGGTTAACAGGCCTGATGGGGCGTCTTCTGGCTTCTGCCACCCCAGTGACAGAGAAGCCTGTCACTTTTGAAGGAGAATGAACTTGACATGCAGCAGCATCCCTGGAAAGGGACTTGTTTCGCCTTTTCTTCTTCTTACTGATTTTCTTTGCCTTTCTGTGGACCAGCCATCGAGAAGCTATGGTGACTGTCTCATAATTGCAGGAAGAGCCATGCTGAATTTTTTCATTAAAGTCTACTTTCTCGGAAAAATAAAGTCTCTTAAGGACGATGACTTCATAAATATTTATAGTGCGAATAGGCGTCGCTCTGGTTCTGCGGGAGAATGGGCTCATTCAGTTTTATTTATGACGTGAAACTCGGATGAGTGACATCCGTCATCTGGGTCGGCCCTACACTCTGTTCCACCGAAGCATGTTTATGGAGTGATTATGTCTGCAAATATTTGCTATATTTAGGCCCTCTCCTCCCCTAGCCCCCTTTAGCCCTCTTAAGTCCTCAAACTAGCAAAAAGCCAAGCTTGTGGTCTGGGGAAGATTTGAACCCTAATGACAGGGGCTTGAGCATGTGCTGTAGAAGCCTTTGGTGAGGTGGGCGGCAATTAGGGTGGGGACACTGACAGTTCCTGCGGTGTTCAAATATTGAGGTGCTTTCCTTGGGCTTGAGTCTCAGCAGGTGAGGGCTCTCAGCTGGGCGTGAGGGGTTTTGACAGGTGACGAGTGTAGATGGATGCTTATGAAAAGCTGTCCTTCCAAGGGAGCTTTCTTTAGACAGGATCTCCCAGGCCCTCAGATCTGTCATGGTGATCCCAGGGCTCCAGGACAGGACCTGGCAGGGGCTCTGTGACCTCTGGCTGGGTCAAGGTCTCTGATGTAACCTGAGTTCTTTCCCTTTCAGCCACACCTGGCCCCTGGCTGGGGGAGCAGCTGCCTCCATCAGCCGTGGAGGAGAGAGGGCCCCTCTGGCTTCTTGACTTTAGGGCAGCACGTGTCCTGACCTGGCTATGAGAGGCTAGTCCAAGGCCTACTTCATACTCAGTATTTGCCTCCAATCTGCTCAGCCACCTATTGTTTATCGTGGGAGGGGCCAGATCTTGGCATTGGGGCCTGAAGCATCGCCAGCATTTTATTTTTAGAGGCAGGAAAATGTCTGCTTTTGGCAGCTGCTCTTGCTCTTTTTTTTTTTTTTTTTTTTTTTCTTGACCCCATTGGGGGTGGGTGAAAAAAA